ACAGTAAAGTGGGGTAGGTCCTTACTGATCCTTCCCCAATTCAGCCAACAAATGCCGCTGCCACACAATCTCCCGTAAGGCACAGAAGAGTGCCACGTGCTCGGACTCCACCGAGCTCAATGCTTGGTCCACCTGCTTCTTGCTTTCCCAAGCAGTTGGACCTCCACCAACACAGCATATGAAGCCTCCCACACTTGTCACGACCTCTGGTTCCGATGCATAAGAAGCATCGGAGAATGCGGTGAAGAACAAACGCCCAGGTTCAACACCATTCGTGCCCTTTTGGCGCCTCTGCGCAGCCACCGAGTAATGCAGCCCAACAGTCGCAGTTTGGCCAAGATACTTAGCTACCCTCATTCCAGCTGCTACCTGCTCCTCATTAGGGCATTGCACAACCCTAGCCAGCTGCCCGGTAGCAAAGGCGACGTCCGATCGGGTGTTGACCGCCGCATACATGAGGCTGCCCACCAACGAGTGAAATCGGCGCCTCTCCTCTTCGCCAACGCTCTCCTCCTCTGGTCCCTTCACACACTTGAACCCAGAAGGGAATGGAGTAGCCACATGGCCTTCACTCTGTCCAAATTTGGCAGCCAAGGCCTCCAGGTACTTCCGTTGGTGCACTCCCATGTACCACTTCTCCACGTCGCGTTCGATATGAAGCCCGAGGTAGAAGTTGACGTCACCAAGGGCCTTGCACATGAATTTTTGTTGAAGCTTCAGCATCACCTCCTTCACAAGGGTAGAGGAGGGGGAGAATATGAGGATGTCATCCACATAGACCACCATGAAGCTCCTCTACTCTCCCTCGCCAAGCATAATCAAAGAGTGATCGGCCGCTGAGGGAGTGAAGCCGATCTCCTCCAACACTTCGCGCAGCTTCAAGTACCATTGCCTAGGGGCCTGCTTCAGCCCATAGAGGGCCTTCTTCAGCTTTAGAACTCTGCCACTCCCATCATCAAACCCCTCTGGCTGCGCCATGAAAATCTCTTCTTCGAGAATCCCGTTGAGAAACGCGGTTGTTACGTCCATCTGCTTCACCACCCATCCTTTGATGGCAGCCTCCGCGAGTAGGGTTCGCAGCGTCGTTGGATTCACCACAGGAGTAAACAACTCCTTGTAGTCCACCTTCTCCTTCTGCTGGTACCCTTTGGCCACAAGCCTAGACTTGTAGCGCTCGATCTTGCCGTCGGCGTCGGACTTGATCTTGAAGAGCCACTTGGACGTAATCGCCTTACGCCCCTCCGGTAGCTCCACCAATTCCCACGTGTCGTTCTCCTCAATGCTCTTCAGCTCGCTCTCCATTGCCTTCTTCCACTCCTCAGCATCACTACTCTCCAAGGCCTCCTTGAGAGTTGCTGGTTCTCCCGGCATCTCCATCGGAGAGAAGAACGCGTAGGCACACTCCTCGTGGTCACTCTCCTCATCATCTCCTACCATAAGTGCCTCTCCGATCAAGGCTGACTTGCCCGGCTTTCCCGGTGCATCTATGTCAGCCTATTAGGAGATTGAACTCTCCTCTTGCCCCTTCCTTCCTCCTCAGCTGCGGGGACATGAAGGCTCTCTTGGCGTTGCTGCGGGGTGACTCGAATCTGTGGAGCACTCGTAGTGCGAGAAGGAAGTGTCGGTGCACGCTCGCTTACTTGCTGCACCTCCCCCCCTATTCCTCTGCATTCTTGGCCTCCTCTCCCCCATTCACAAGAGGAGATTGCCTCGTGATGGTGCTGCCACTGCTCAGCTCCAAAGGCAGCTCCACATGCTCCAAACCGGAACTCTTCACCTCCCCAAACCGCACGCCTATCTTCGCCTCATTTTCCGCCTTCCAATCCTTAAACATCAGGTTCTCCATGAACTTGCAGTCCCTGCTCACCAAGAATTTCTTGGTGAATGGGTCCCAAAGAAGCCATCCCTTGCTGTTTTGAGCCATGCCCAAGTGCACAGCCCATATCGCCTTGGCACCAAGCTTGTTGTGCCGAAGATGCTTAGGCACGAGCGCCATGCACATGCACCCGAACACCCGAAGCATATCACCCGTTGGCTTCCTTCCAATCCAATCCACGTAGGGCACCCATTTGTCTGCTCCCACATGAGTCAAGGTTTTGTTCTTAGCCACACACGCGCTCCGCACCGCATCAGGCAAAAAATAATCAGGTAGCCCGGCCTTCAATAAGCAACCCACGTGCCGTCTCCGTGATTGTCCGGTTCGCTCGCTCGGCGATGCCGTTCATTGCAGGGGAGTATGGCATAGTAAGGGAGTGCCTTATGCCATTCTTCTTCAGCCACAATGAGAACTCATTGCTCAGGAACTCTCCCCTTTGATCGGTGCAAATTGATTTCACAAGTCGGTCTTGTTGCTGCTCCACCATCGGCAACCAATCGGTCTTCACCGTTTCAGCCACGCCGCTCCTCTTGGACAGCACATACACCCAGGTCACGCGGGTGTATATGTCGACCGTAGTGAGGAAGTACTCTTCTTCAGCAGATCCAAGCTTCAAGGGGCCCACCACGTCCATCACCACCTCATCAAGTGGTGCCTTAGCCGTTGCCTCCGAACTAGAGAACGGGAAACGGGTGAACTTGGCTTGCATGCACGTCGGGCAGCCAAGTACCTCATCGGGCTCCCCCTTCACACGTATGCCAGCAACCATCTCTCCCTTTACTAGCTACTGCAAAATAGGCAGGGCTACATGCTCCATTCGCCGATGCAAGGTGAACCAATCACACTCCCCCGTAGCCGAAGTCGGATTGGAGAATGTCGCGCTCGCAATAGCGCCCCACATACTCTCTCCGTAGTCCTCCTTCGCTGCTGCCTTGAGTTTCTTCTCACCCTTGTGCTGCTCCTTGGCTGCTGCACCACTCTCCTTATGGTCACCGAGCTTGCTGGTCCCTCCAAGATTTCTCTTCGTGGACTCATTCTCCTTAGCGCCATCGTTCGCGCCATAACCGCTACCAACCGCTTCACCCTTGGTGCTGATGCTTGCTGCAACTCGCCTCTCCTTAGGCATTGGGACCACAGGTATCTGCCATAGCTCATTATAGACATCCCTATCCTCATGAAGGTCCCATAGAATCCGCTCGCCAAGCCTCGCGGTATAGGTCTTAGCTCCCTTCGAGCTCATGTCCATGCCGGCCATTTGCAGCCGCCGCAGAGAAATCAGGTTCGCAGCTAGGTTGTGCATCCAAAGCACGTTCTTGAGGCCCACCATCTTCCCATCAGCACCCTTGAACATGGCCTTGCCCATGCCTTTCACCTCTGCTCGCTGTCCTAAAGCCGATGTGACATGCTTCACCGGTGACGGTTCGAGTTCGGTGAGCAAGTCCGCGCGAGGTGTCATGCTATAGGTAGCGCCGCTGTCGATCACCCAATAGTCCAAGGAGTGAAGGGTGACCTTTCCCACAGATGCTGCCTCCTCAAAGCCTTCATCCTTCTCTGGACCAGCCGGTGCTTGCGACGAGACGAAGAAGAATTGGCTTGGAATGCGATCGTCCATCGACTCGCTCTCGTTGTCTCCACTCTTCATATCTGCAGCACCACCTCCGCGATCGCCACGGCCTCCACCGTCTTTCCTCTCCCTCCTCCTGCTTCTCTTCCCTCTTGGCCTTGAGCAGGGGTCCAACCTTCAGGGAGTTTGAAGCAATCACGCCACATGTGTCCGCTCTTGTGGCAATAGTGGCACTCGCCGTCGAATCGGCCGCGACCGCGTCCGTAGTTCAAGTCGTCGCTGCCGTATCCGCCATTCCCGCGGCCTCCACTGAAGTTGCTGCCACCAAACCTTCCTCCCCCTCGTCCTCTGCCTCTTCCACGGCCATATCGACGGCTAATGCTTGCTGCCCCCGCGCCATCCGAACACGTCAACTCACGGCGGCAGAAATCCTCTTGAAGGATTGCTCGTTTCACGTCTTCGAGCGAGAGGCCGGTCAGATCACGGTTCAAATCAATGATGAGTAAGGACCATGATTCGGGGAGCAGGGCCAGCAACTTGGTCTTCTTTTGGAGCTCATTATAGTGCAAATCAGCTCCCTCAAGCCGCGTCAACAAGTCGAAGAATTTCTGCACCCCTTCTTCCACGGGTTCATCTTCTTCAATTCGTAGTGTCGCCATTTGCCGTTCCAACACCACAGCTACCGCCGATGCTGCAAGAGCGTGTACACCCTTGAGAGCAGCATCGGGAAATCGGGGGGTCCTGCAAACAGCTAGGAAAAAACTTACTTGCGAGTGGTTTTCAACTCCACGCAATTGCCTGATTCAGCGATTGGTTTGCTAGGCTAGTAGCATCTAGCCTGCGATTTGTTTTCGATTGGGCCTATGGGTGACTGCCGAGCCTGTGTAAATGCTCTGGAAACATTACGCGAAACAGTTGCGGACAACTGGTTGTTGTTTATTGGGCGCAAAGTTTTTCTCGATTCGATGTCACGTCAGCAATTTAGTCTTGATAAACACTCTGTCGCAAAAAATGTATTAGTGACCACAGTCAACTGAACGAATCTCGATTGATAAATTTCAAAGTACCCTTTGGTGTTCTTTAAACGGAAGTGACCGTTCACATTTAGTAATGATAAACAGGACAGTTGCGTGTATTAGTCTGAAATACATATTTGGGGTTGGAGTTAGGGACGATTATAACAGATTTTTCAAGCATTTATCAGACGTTCTAATAACGAAGCCCCAATTATTAGCTAGCATTAGAATATTACTGCATATTTTAATGGCTGTGCCTATATTATAGATATAATGAGAGGCTTAATTTGAATGAACCGAGAAACCAAAAGATGAATCTTATTGATATAATAACGAGTACACTTATTAAAAATACTACTTTTAAAACAACTCTTTTGCACCTCGTTCTCGTTATGTACCCTGCGATAAGAAGCCCTAGAAGTGAGGTCATTTCAGGTCAACTCACCGAGCTGATATGCTGCCAGCTCAACTTCGGAAATTTCTTTCCATCCAACTGCAGATGCTGCCAATGCCGACACAGTCCCCATCGCGTATGACAGGTCCCTCATTGATCCAACGCTGCACCACCCGTGCCTGCGTGGAAAAAGCTGCCGGGTCCCCGGATCGCTTGAACTATGCCTTGGCATGTGGATACCGAATCTTGAAGCGGACCTGAAACATTTACACCAACAACTCGACTTAATACGAGGGTTACAGCAAATAAAAACTCAGTAAAAAAGCGCAGTAAATTACCGCTGCGAGGATGACAAACAACTGATTAGGGAACAAGGCAATAGGAAGGGCGCCCTCAGAATCCGGTTCCCACAAGGACGCGCACTTAATGAAAGCTGGGCTAGAAAAAGGTTCATCCTCCCACAAATGCCAGAAAATCCCCTTGAACTTTGCCACGCGAAGTAAACCGGCTAATATATCGGCGCTGGAGAATAGAAATTTTTACGAAACGGCACTTACGGGACGAGTTGTTCTTCAAGTAGTCCATGCACAACTTTGCGAAACCGTCCAGCTCGGCGAATGTAAGCTCGCCCTTCAGGGTGCGCTTCTCTCGCATGAAGATGCACGGCTCCCTGCTCAACAAGTAAACACGGCAAAAATAGTAGATTTTCCCGATGCGATCATTAAAGCGCTCGCAAGCATCTTTCAGCTTACCGTGGAACTTGGCAATCGGAGCCACTTGTATTCCTTCAAGTGACTCAAGGGTGTATCCCGCGTGCCTTGCATAACACGTAACATAGGTGAGCACTAGTATATGACAGGAGAGAAGGTAGCAATATATGAATATTTCAAACGTACTGATCAATGCATTAAGCATGTCATCACAAGTGGGATTGAGGTTGAGCGTTTCCTGCTTGAACAGGAACTCGTCACAAGAGTCCTAGATGTACTTCTGCAAAAGGTAAACGTCTCAAAAGTCAATGGAACTTGAACAGCAATAGGGAATTGCGTTGCACAGGACAAGAAATACCTTCCAGTTGAGTGCCGACAAGTCCACTTGCGAGGACTTCTTCGCAAGGTGCGTGATAAGCACCAGAGCGCTTTTCAGGTCTTCTGCGAGGCGTCTATTTTCCGTGCGAAACACCTGGCGATGGCCTTCTGAGTTTCCGCCTTAGTTCGAAGCTCCTCATTCACGCCTGGTTCGGCGCGCACTTCCTCGTCAAAACGAGCGACATCAATCGCATACACACACCCTGTCGCCCGGGTCATAAGCAGCTCCATCGGGCTGCGGCTGACATTTCCTATTAAAGAGGAACATGCGCACGGCTCGTTAGATGCAAAAAAATGACCCGCAACTGAACTAAGCGTGCAAACGACGAAGCATCGGGTTGTTGCGGTTAGCTGAATGATTCCGAATAGAAACATTGAGTCAGAAATGACATACCTCTCTCAGGGGCAACTGTCCCAGGGGGGACAACAGCGTCGGGAGCCACATCAGCAGTGGGGGAACCATCGTCAGCAGCAGCAGTAGAGGGAGATCCGGCAGCAGCAACAGCAGAGGAACCACCGGAAGCAGCAGCAGCAGCAGCAACAGCAGAGGAACCACCGGCAACAGCAGCAGCAGCAGCAGTAGCAGGAGGAACCACCGGCAGTAGCAGCAGGGGAACCACCGCCAGCGGCAACTTGTACGACGACTGCGTGACGTTCGTCATCAGCAGTATCGTTGATTGGCGAGGACTTCACCCCTGCTGCCAGTGCAGGCACGGCAGTCCCAGCGGCGGGGTCCTTGTTGACGTCATTGAGGCTCCGCCTCACTTGTTCAGCACGTTGGCCGGTACGATGGCGACCCGGCGCTGGCACGTCGGTCGCTTAATCGTGGCTTCCTTCTGCCACACACACAAGAAAGTGGGTCAGATGTGAACAATGAATGATTGGAAAAAAAAAATAGAAACACAAGGACGAATCAAAACCATCATGAAATTACCTGCAACAGAAGAGTTGCCAATGTACTTGTGATTATCCTTGCTATTCCGAGCAGGAAGATGTCTCATCTGCAATGTACGCAAAGGTTCGGGGACAAGATCTCGCACATTACAGCGTGCCATAACTAAAGAGAGGCTGAAAAAAAAATGAACGGTAGGCATATAGCCTGCTAGTTTCCAACCTAGCTATAAATATTAAGTCGTCAATGTGACTAAAAAGCGGGATGAACACGTGAACGAAAGACTTACTAATGAAAGTGGAAAATGAAACGCACCATGATTGGCCAGCCCTAGGGTTCTCTACCAAACCTGAGACCACAGTCGTTTCGCATGGAGGCTCGGCATGGGTCGCGCGGTGAGCGAATGGGAATAGAGGGATTGAGCAATGTAGAAGTGAAGTTTAAAATTTGGAAGTTTGAATTTCTAAACTGAGACACGCAGATAGAGCAGGTACCACTTACGCCTGCCAATGAGGAAGGGAAACGGGGGAGAGAAGGGTATGGGGTGTGGTTTCAGAGATGGTGAGTTGCTGTTCGTGGGACGAAGTGCGGTGGCAACCCCAGGCGCCTTGGCATTCACGTTCATGAACAGCATTACACCTGAGGTGAGATGGCGGTCATTCTGCACCTT